GAGTCAGTTTCTTTTGCAGTAAATAATCTGCAAGTGGATACTTGTGTAATAATTATCTGTATAATATTTCTGCATGAGTTTTCAAGAGGAGAGACCAACCTATTTACAACATCCATAGGACTGTTGGAAACAACGTAACAACCACTAGGTTAAGCTCCAGAATAAATTTTGAGACCAGATGTATAAAATGTTACTTGGCATGTACTGAATCCATTGACAGCGACCTCAAAAGGGATGCAGCATCTCATCAATAGTGATGAATTCGCCCAAAGTATAACAATCATTACAATTTTTTAGGAATGATTCAAAGATATTTCGGATAGCTGCCAATTTGTCTGTTTTATGTCTGTCCTGTCTTGTTGATTTATCATCAAATCGAAGACAACTTGCCAAAAATAAAAATCTCTTGTAGCTCATCACAGCTCTTATTTCAATTCCAGTGCCATTACTTGAAAACAATTCTTTTACATGGTGTCTTTTTTTATTCCTATCATATATAACAATTCAAAGTATGCCATCATTTCTACTCTTGAAGTAACCGTGCAGTCTCTGTCTCTTGAGTATTTGCCTTTTAGCAAACTTATATATTTATTTGTACATTCCAAAATTTCATCAAGCATATTTATATCAATGATTTTCAAAACTGATCCTATTTCATCCTCTATATCCTTGGCATGGTGTTATAGGCCTGGTAACACTTTCACAATATTCATCTTTTTCGTCTTTGAGCAGTTTGCGTACTTAGGTTTTTATCAATTACAAGATTTATTCTTACCAATATAGACCATATCATCATCATTCCTTTTTCTATATCGCTATTATCATCATCATCTGAAATATATTGTTCAGATTCACTGCTGATATTATTTATCTCTATATTTTTCTAACTCAAATCGCTATTGTTCTCCCATCCAAATGTTTCCTTGTCTTCCTTTTCTTCAACAGATAATTCTTGGAGAATGCGAGCAAAATCAGCTGGTTGCATATATTTTTTTGCCATAAAAACCGATACAAAAATTACAGAGCTAAATGTATACAAATTAAAATAATACACAGCAATTAATAACACAAAATTACGAAATATTTGAGAAAAAAATATTTTCCGAATTTTCACCCACCAGCACGTGCGTGTCATAAATTTTATGCCACGTAGCACAAAAGCCCAGTAAAAAAAAAAAAAAAAAAAAAGAATAAGTCAAATGACTTCCTCTTGGCACATTCCATGATGTGGGGAAGGGTAGAAAGGAAGAATAGAAATGACCTTCAGACATCTCAGCTTTGATATGCGAAAAATGTGCATTAAAAACCGAATTTGTTGTCAATTTTGCGCATACATGCCTGCTGGAAGGTTAAATTAATTAATTTCTCTAAGTGATATGTAGAGCTCTCAAGACGTGAGCTATAAAAATAATGAAGTAAGGGTTCTCTTCCGGATAAATAACTTTAAAAGTTTAAATATTAAAATAATTTTTTTTAATATTATAAATAAAAATATTAATTAAATAAATTTTTTAATAATAAATTTTTTATAGCCTTTTTTTGTTTCCCTGATATAAAACTTATATTCCTGGTCTTTATATTAATATTTTTATTTTGTTAGAACACTTTTCTTCCCTATGTATTTAACTCAACATTAATCAGAGAACTAGAATGTTTTCAGGTATCCTTTTTAAGGTAGTAAATTCTAGTATTTGAATGAAATTATAATATATGCATAAATTACTCCTCTCTTTAAATGCATTTTGAAGTGATGACATGAAATGCTTTAGCTAAAAGAGCATTTCATGTTGCATTTTCTTTCAGTAGCACATAGCAAGGTATTCATATATGACCTGGATGAATGGATACAGGAATGATTTAAAAAGTGGAATGACTGCATCCTCACAAATATGATCACCTTTCAAAATACTACTTTTCTTTGCTACTTTCTACTGTTTTTTACTAATTTTATTATCCAAAAATCAAGCAAATAAGTTAATTCCTAAAGAACGTAATTACAAACAAATGAAAAGTAGTCATTTGGATAAGCTACAGATAAATTTTACAATATTACTTCTCTGAAAGAAATCTGCTTTCCAGTAAGAATATGTAGTAATATTAACATTACAATATCTAATAAGATATTTTCATTTCTACTTCCCTGTAACTTGCTGGCTCCTATTGTTGTTTCTGCTACTTCTTAGGCCTCAGATTATCCATAACTAACCAGAGATAGTCATTTTTTAAGCTGACATTAAGTTAAGCAATTAGAAGGGGAATGTTCGGCATGACCTTTGCTGTCTGTTTGTGAAACTTTGTCTTTATTAGTAAGATGAAAGCAGATGAATCCATTTTAAAATTTAGGAGAACTCATTCTTGAACTCACAAATACATTGAAGAAGAGGAAAATTACATGAATATTTACAGAACATGGTTCTAAAGCTAAGGAGGGGACACGAGAACTATGGGAATCCTTCTGCTCTGTCTTTCTCAGTTTTTTTACCTCCAGCCAGTGTATTACATATAGGTGAGGGAGGTAATATTTGCAATCCAAAAATTTCGTAGTGAGTTTTCAGTGAATAAGCACAAATTAGGATCTCCATACTACGTTTTTAGTATTTCTAGAATATTGTCTATGTGTATGTCTGTGATGATTTTATAGTTTGCTATTACTCTTATATGAAACTTTGAAAAATGAAAAATTTCCATTTTCTATATTTAAGCTTTCTACATTCATATAAAGAGATTTATTTTATTAGATTTTGGGTGAAATTGGACAACCAGAAGAAGTACTTTACTTGCAGCCCATAACGGTCTATTTATGTTCCCAGGACCTTGTACCCAAAAAATGTGCCTGAACTTGATGGCTGTGTTAAAGAGAAAAAAACTTACCTATGTATATAGCTCTTACCTACATACCCTTATCTATGTATACAGGTTTGTCTCCTGCCAACTTATATAGTTTAGAGACCTATATAGGTTAGGGAGGTAATGTTTCTTGTGTCCAAAAATTCGGTAATGAGTTTTTAGTCAATAGGCATGAAGTAGAGTCCCCATAACACATTTCTACAATTTTTATGATGAGATCTTTCTGCCCGCATGTCTGTGTGTGATGAGTTTTTTGTCCACATCAACTCTCATATTGAAATGTTTCTGTTTCCCTTATTTAAGTTTTCTACATTCATCTAAAGAGCTGATTAGATTTTGAACAAACTTTAACAAGTCCAGAGGTGGTACTCTGCAAAAGTTCATAATAGTCCTTAATGGACAACTGGAAGTCGTACTTTACTTGAACCCATAGCAGTTTTTAATGAAGAACTATATTAGAATATAAACCCAAAACTTTTCAGTTTTAGTATTTGAGACTCTCATATCAATGGGAGCAGCATATTAGATTTTGGCTAAAATTGATAAACTAGAAGTGATACTTTATTAGTGGCTATTAGCAGAATTTTGTAAAAAAAAAAAAATCTGTTATGAGATAACCCAAAATTTCTCAAATTTGATAGTTAAAAAAGGTATATAATTGAGAACAACATATTGCATTATAAGAATTAAATGCATTTTTGGAGTTATGCACCGAAAATAAGCTCATTAGGAAGATGAACTATCGTTATGATGCAATTAATGCATTAGCCTCAATCCACAGTTTTGCACTGGTTTCAATTTTATGTCAAATCACTTTTCAAATAAAAAAATGTTGCCACCAAATGTTATCACTATGTCTTATTTAAAAAAAAAAAAAAGTAATATAGCAAATATAAAAAGAAATGTATGACTCACTTAATACTCTGTCAGGTATTCTAAAGGTATCTTGCTTTTAAAAAGTTTGTGATTGTTAAGCGATTATTTTAACCATTTGACTGCTATGCGGGGCAAAAGCGCTGCATTCATTTGTCTCGAAAATCGCAATGCAGCACTTTTGCGCTGTGAGTTTCAGTGTGTCTTTGTTGCTCCGTGAGTGTGAATGTAGTCTGATCTCGTGCGTCCTTTGTAACACGAGTACATTCTAAAATAACTAACTGCGTTGTGGTTTTCGAGACAAATGAACGCATTGCTTTTGTGCCGCGTAGCAGTCAAATGGTTAAGAATCCAAAAAACTATGACCAAAGGATATACTATGATCGATGTGATATTTTCAAGTCTAAGCATGGGAATGGGTGTGTACATGAGGATATATTCCTTTGGGAGAATGGAATAATAAAGAATGAGTAGTGTTTAACAGTGATGCATAAAGTTACTAAACAAATTAGATTTTATTTAGAAATCATCAACCGGAAGTGATAGTTTGCTTAACACTTATTACTATTCTGCCATTTCCATCTTAACATGAAATTGGTAGGATGTCATGATTAGATCTTTTAAAGATATTTTGTCGCTGTTTCCAAAGACATTTCTTGCTTGGTCGCAGTCCTATCTTAAGTCATTGTGATAAGACTGGGGATTCAATCTAGACCATAAGAAAGGTAAACAGGACTGATAAATGCTCCATTTATCAATACATGAGAGACATTGTTTTCCTCATTGTCTGTAAACCATTAATCAAAATTTTGCAGCTTGAAATTTATTCTTCTACTAAATGATAATTTTTTGTTCCACGGACCAGGGCAATTTCTGCTTACTTAATCACTCATACACATATAATGTGTTAATAAATACTTAGTGATGCACTAATTAGTTATTGATATTTAACCTTTTTTCACATATTTGATAGAATCAAACAATTAAATAAAAGTTTTGAAAGAGTTTGACCCTGGAAGGGACTTACTCATTGAGTGTATGTTAATAGGTTTTGCATATTAAATGTCTGCATATCTTCTTTTTAAATTTTAAAATTATTTTAATAATTTAATTTCATGTAAGTTGATAAATTAGTATGCATATGCAATTTTTATTACTAGGGTTACGTTAAAAATTTGATTGATCATTCTATATATACTCAATTTCTTACAGTGCTTTTGATGAAAATATTAGAAATTAACCCCTACTAAAGACCATTTTATTGTATTAATGATTTCCAGAATGGAAGATTAGAAATATTTGACATTAATGCGAGAGAGATGTTGGAAAGTGTGCAAGCTCATGAAGGTTCTGTAAAATGTATTACTATTTCACCTGATCAGGTAAAAATCTTTCATGAATTTTATTGATATGATTTTATATTTCATAAGTATTGTGCTCTAGAGTTTTAAAACACGTTTTAATGAATGTCACTTTATCATTTTTTTTTCACTCATCAGGGTTGCCACGTCACCTGGAAAACCGGAAAAAGTCGGGGAATTCGAAAATTGATAAAAAAATTCAGGGAATTTCATACGGTGATTTCGCCCTCCCCCCAAAAAAGAGAACTTTGCACTGACGGAAGCGATCACTTTCTTGGCAAATTACGTAGCGCGTGAGCATCATTTGGCGAGCTGGCATAGCAGCTCCAATTATATTGTCTTTTAGTAAGGCTAAGCAAGTTTCCAGCAACTTTTGGTTTCCAGTAACCTCAAGAATCAAGAGACTCACATGTGCTGGTTATGTTGAACTAAAGAAAATACCTTCCCATTCTCGTATACAACAAAATCGGTTTAATCCTAATATACGGTACCATGGAGGCTAGAATAGCCCCCATGTACTATGTTCTAGTGCAGTATTTCCCAACCTTTTTTGTGCTATGCCCCACCTAATCCTCTCTAAAATATTTAAGCTCCCCCTAGCATATACATAATTTTTAATATTTAAAAACTGAAATGTTCACCAAAGAAACTTGAATGATAGCTTTTAGGCAGAAATGACTACGAAATTTTGTGAGCAAACACAGTAAGTGAACTTTCAAAACATGGAGAACTGAAATTCAAGAAAAAAACTCATTTTAGTGAAAGTTTTTTATTTTAAGTATTAGTTCCTTGCGCTTGATACTTGCTGAAAAGAAATTTTATGTCAGATTCCAATTTAGGTAACTTGAGTCTCAAGTCTCCCGGTTTCATTATATCCAACCACTTTCTTTCTTTCTTTTTTTTTTTTTAAAGCAGCAAATCATTTATGGCACTAAATCTGCATTCAGCAAAATATGAAGATGGAAACAGTAACAATAGTTCTCTTTCAAATTTTGTTGCATTTGGATATCTGATTCTGGTTTCCTCACAAAGCTATGTCATCACTCCTTTTATATTAAATAAAGTTTTAATTGACTCATCATTTTGCATTTCTGCAAGTTCTTCTTTTTACTGCATATTGAAATATCAGCCAAATCCACTAGCATTGGCTGCATCATCCAAGTTGAAAAATCAATTTTTTTAAGTTACAAAATCTTTTAAATCAGCCGATAAAATTTTCAGATAATCGACAAGAACAAGTATAGCGGTATCAATAACAAGTATAACGGTAGTCACGTCACATTTTTGGAACCAATGAGACTTTTCAAAATTTTTGTAATAAATAGTATATGTCTGACATAATTCAACAAAGATAATGAAACCAATTATCTTCCTTTTGCATCATAAGTTTTATTTGCTCCTTGAAGTTGTTTATTTAATATATTTAATTTTTCAAAGATATCAGCTAAATAACTCACAATTGCCTTGTAATCATTCGTTAATGGATTTTTCATTTCAGGTTTGTCATTTAAAAAATAATTAAGAGTATTAAATAGTTCCATAAATCTTTCCAAGCAGTTCCCTTTCGACAGTCTTCTTACTTCAGTGGGAAGTACAAGTCTCATATAGTCTTCATTTTGTTCTTCATAAAATAACCAGGGTTCGTACGGTCCTTAAGAGTCCTTAAAAGTCCTTAGATTTTTTTAAATCGATTTCTGGTCCTTAAAAGTCTTTAATTTTGGCCAAAATCAGCAGAAGGTCCTTAATTTTAATCATGTGAAATTTCTGTCTGTTTTTACGACTGTCATTTTGAGTGTGAATTAGCATTTTGAGGAATATTTTTGGCGATTCACTGCCATATAAATGATTATCTTTTGAATGGGTTCATGAGTTATAATTCGTTTCTATTTCTAATATATAATGATAGGATACTTGAATTTCTAAGCAAGAAGTGAAACATGAGCCTTTCGAAATTCATTTTTTTCTAGTAAAGAGCTATTAAACAACTTTTCGCTTTTGGGGATGTCAATTCTTTTATTAAACGGTTCTGAATTTGGCGACTTTGCAACATTTTGAGGATTTTAAGATTAGTTTCTATAGAAACTTTTTAATTCCGAGATCTGAGAATTTTTTGACGATTTTTTAAAACATCGTAACATTAATAAATTTCATTAAAATAATGGTAATATATTGAAATGGTATTTAAAAAATAACATTGAAATAAGACATTTTTATTTTTTTTTTTTCTGTAATATTATAAAGTTTCATTTTGGCAACTTATTATACAATATTTTAAATCTGAAAAATAAACAAGGTATAATGCTATAAAGAACAATTTACAAAACAGCTCTTAGCAAAAGCAAAATTAGCTATGTAATTAATTAAAAAATGTCTTCATTTTAATTTTTTCATAGTAAGAGTTTTTCCATGTAATTGTCTCAGAATATTCAAAATTCTCAGAATGTGCATCAGTTTTCTCTATAAAATTAATACTTTTCTCTATAAATTATGCTTTTTCCCTCCTATTTTTTCCCAAAATATTTCTGGCTTTTTGCTGTTACAGAATTGGTAGGGATAATTTTTCTTTAGGATTTTAGACATTGCAGCTTGGAAAGTTTAGAAGGATTTGAAGGCGAGATTTATAGACCCACAATTCTAGAAGATTCGAGAAATATATGACAAAATGAAAAATGTCTCCATGGTATCACACGTAAATGGATGTTTTTACAGAAGGTTTGCAATGAATTTCTTAATTTTTGGAGACCATCTGGAAGAACAATGAAAACATAATATTTAAATGTTTTACTTCTGATACTAGAATCTTAACATATTTATCTTCTCTTTATTTTCTCTACTTTTCACTAGATGCATGGAAAATATCAAAAATGCTTCTGATTTTGTCAGATGGCCAGGCATTAAAGAAAGGGATCTTTTTATTAATAAAGAAATTGAAAACTTACAATTTAAAAAATTCATCTAATATTTCTTAATGCATCATACACTAGGCATTTTCCCACCTGATGCAATCTCTGTGGATCCTAAATTCTGTTGCCTAGTGCCTTTCTAAATTCTGCTTCCAATTCCTGCTATAAATCCTAAACCTTTTGCCATTTCCAGATTTTGTTGTTCGGTGTTACTAAATTCTAGAAATTCTGCCACATCAGCTTTAACTGGCCTTTACTATATATGTATTTCATATTGCTTCTGAATGTTCATATCACTAAAGAAATAAAATTAGCTGCTTTTTCTGTACATTCTAAATGCATTTAGTGTTTTTTAGAATAACAGAAATCCTTAATTAAATCCAAAAATTCTAAAAGGAAAAGGAAACATGTTGAAGAAAGAAACTGAATACATAATGGAAATTATTCTTCAAAGATATGTGCAGTTATTATTATGTAAATTACCCAATAGTTTATGATTTGAACCTTTACTATAATTTCCCACTTCTGTTTCCTCATATGATAGAGTTACTGAGCCAAATTAAATTGTATAATCTTTGACCACTAGTCCACATTTTTAGTTTGAATTAGACTGTTCTTGTTTAATTACGTCACCGTGAGCTGTAATTGATTTTGTTAGCATCAGAACATGCCTTTATGTTCTAAGTTTTTTTTAAAAAAAATAAGAGGTTTATTTAAACCTTTTTCTAATATTATTGTAGTTAATTTCAGACATAGCGATAATATGCTTCACGCCTGTCGGGAGTTTTGGACTATTTAACTTTTACCAGATCAATTAAACCCTCATAGGTACATTGTGGAGAGGTTGACAAGTTAGGAGATAAAGACGCAGAAACTAGCGGCAGCATTGATTTGCATATTGTTAGAAAAGATGCTTAAAGAGAAGGAAATTGATATAAACTAGCCAAAATGTTTGGGAAGGCTTCAAATTTAAATGACGGATAAATGTTTTGTTGCCTGTTGTTGTTACAAAACATGAATGTTCTGTAGCTTTTAATACGTAATTATTGTAATATCGTTTAAGAAACTTTAAACTTATACTTTAATTACATATACCTTTAAACTGTGAAATTTTATTAGATTTTGATTTAAATAGGGCTTTTTAAACAAATATTGTTAAAAAATAAAATTTAATACAATCCATAGTGTAAATCCATAAGGATTATCTAACTGCCTAATTTAATTATTTACAACTATCTGCTTACCCTTAAAAATTACCTCTACATATTAAAGTTATTTATTGCCTTTCATTAATACACTTAGTGTAGTCACAAGAGAATTAACACAACAATTGTAAAAATTCGAGTAAAACTTATTCTTTGCATCTAGTGAAACTTAAAACTAATACAAAACAACTTATCATCACCTCTGGTACTTTAATGGCTTATTTGGAACCTTAAAGTATATTAACTGGGTTACAATCCCTAAAACTGTACAAAGCTATGACACTAACTGCATTCAAACAGAAGCCTTGACTAACTTTCAACACTTGCCCAACCTGTGCCTACATCAGGCCTTTCAGGTTCGTTCTAATCAGCAGGTCTCTCTCTAGACAAGCAAGCAGTAGCGGTGACAAACATTCATTCTTTTGTTATGAAGTCATGCTGATTATGATCTTGCTTCTCATTTTAATCTATGCAGATTTGACATAAAATCTATCTGCTATTTACTAAACCTCTAGATTGACCAAGTATGTAACAAAATGAGACATAAAAAAATCAACATAAAGCTAACTGTTAGTAAAACGTAAATGTCACTTATTTCTTTCAAATATGTCCAACAATTATAAGTGTAAAATATTTAAGCTACTTGATAAATTGCGTAAAGTTTGTTTTATTCTCAAACTTATTAACAATTATGTTAATTAATTCATGTTTAGCAATGATGCGTACTACTTAGGGATCTGTTTTATTTTAGGATGGTATTGCAAAAGGGAAATTCAGGCATAGATAATATCTTCAATTGAATTTATTCAGTTCCCATTTACTCATAGGTCCTTAATTTTTTTCATTAACGGTCCTTAAAAGTCCTTAAAAGTGCCTAATATCTTTTTCTAGAACAGTTTTAAATGCTGATATGATGGTTTGATTCAGTTCTCCCCTATAGTATGGCTTTTCCCAGATTAAGCGATGAGTAATGAAATTTGATAGCCTCAAGAGCATGATTAACAGTTGCATTATGAGCAGTAAATAAACGCTTTAATATTACTCTTTTTTTCAAAAATTTTCCTACAGGTGTGAAAATAATTCAAATTTGAATTAATATCAGCATTATATTTCGCCTTCAAATATGCCTCAAGATGACCTAGTTTCATTGATTTGTTGATCAGGCATTATTGGCATAAAAGAAAAAAAGTTGACTGTTTATGGACCAGGTATGAAACCTAATTTTAAATATGCCTCCGAATACTGACGAACGTTTTTTCTTGCTTGCACCCCTCATTCACTAAGGGCTGAAAGAAATAAATATAAGATCAATATAAACAAAGCTGAAAGCAGCTACTGTTGCTATTCAAGGAAAGAATAATATACCGGTTTCCATTCTTACAGTAAAAAATAAAATAAATTCGTTGGCTGAAATGTGCGAGAAACGTCTGGAAAGCTTAATGTGTCATTTATTTAAATGCCTTTAAAAGCATTTAAATGCCCATGTCTACAGCGAGAATTTTTTATAAAATTTTTAAAATGCACCGCAATTTAAAAACTTTTTTACGCATACATCACTTACATTTTTCTTTTATTTTGGAGAATAAAAAATGAAATTTTGAAAAATTTTGACTTCATGAAACATATTTAGAATGTCCCTTGTCCCGTTTGAACGCCCTTTTTCCCCTTAAACTCTGGAGGAGTCCATTTTCGAATTGCCCCCCTTAACAGTCGCTTTGCCCCCTTGTGGGGCGTGGGCTGCATGTTGGAAAACACGGTTCTAATGTAAGAATGTCTATGTAAAGAAAGAAAGGTTCCATAGACGTAATGTAAATCAGTTTGCTAGAGTGCCGCTACTATAAATAACGAATGCAGGCCATTTTGCATCAGAAGCTCACCTCCTGTGCTATACTCTCCTCTCCTGTGCTATATTTTGCGCTGCTCTGTCCATCCTTCTTTTCTTTGTTAGAATGCTACGACGCAGAAAGTCAAAATTTAATCATACTTAGTAACTCATTATTGAATATGTAATTTGGAGAACTTCGTCGGAAAAGGAAATTGATCTGCTATTTGAATTAAATAAATATGTGCAATTAAAAGTGAAATTCCTCTGTGTGTCATCATTTGGATACCTTCCTTACCACTCTGCAAAAAGCCATGCCTGAACTCTGATGCCGAGCTTCACGACTTCCAAAATATCACATATATATATAAGTCGTATATAATTGGCAAATTCTTGTGTTTTCAAGTGGTACCATAATTAATTTACTTCTTAGCACAGCCAACATGCATTACTTGGATAGACTAGAATTTTCTTAAAAGATCTCTGGAAAAGTCAGGGAATTTCATTCTTCTGTTTGAGTGGCAACCCTAACTCATGACAACATTATTTATTTGTTATTATCAGTTCAATTATTTGTCTGTCTGTTGACTATATTATATCTAAATAGTTAGTAATTTGATATAATGTTTCAATAAATAATTAGTGATTCACTAATTAGTTATTGATTTTTAACTTTTTTAAGTTTTAAACTTATTCTTAGACCAAAAATATTGTAAAAAAGAAAAAAAGTATTTTCTCATATTGCTGTTATGTACTATGTCTATATTTGAATAAATTCATTTTGTAATTATGTATAATATTTAACTTAATATAGTATTTAAATCATAGAAACTGTTTTCTGGTGTATAGATTGTTTGCTCTTTAAAATTAAATCAAACAAAATTGTAGTTTTTGTAATTGGACATTATCTATTGGAAAACGTGACTGAATTTCAAACTAAATTTCCTCGAAGTATGTTTGGCAAAATTTCCAAATTCAACAGCAGATTTCTCTGCTTGATAAATGTTTTTATAAGACATTTTTTTTTGCTTATTTATATTTTATTTAGCTACAGAATATTTAATTTTAAGTATAGGGGATCTGGGAAGAAAGTGATGAAAAAAGAATGATGCCATGTATCAGAAATTAATATGTTTATATATAGCACTGTGGGTTATCTAGTTGGAAATAATTCAAGAAGTTTAAGTACACTTCTGTGTGAGTGCTATTTGTAGTTTAAGCTGTGCCTAGCAATACCTAGTTTCATTTCACATATCTGACAGCATCACTAGTGTTAACTTGTTCTATAATGTTCATAATTCATGCACCCATATCTAAAGAGATCCAGTTTGCTCTGTGTTAGTTTTTCCAACGAAGAAACTTTTTGAGTTCTCTTTCCAGCTCTTTAAATCAGACTTTAATAAACTCATTGATTTTAGATCTGGGCACCTTGCATATTTAGAACAACTGTTTGCAAATTCAATTTTTTTTAATACATTACATCACATGGGTAACAAATCAAAGATAGTAACACTAAAATGGGGACTATTACAGTGAAATGTAATTATAAGTATTCTTTTGCCATAGTTGTATGCTAGTAGGTTAGGGTAGTGGTTTGGGTTTTTACTGGAAACTTATCAAGAAATGAGATAATAGAAAGAAGAAATTGCTAGGAGAACAGTAGTGGCTGTACATCTTTCTGTTTTTAATATTGATAGAATTTTGATCTGTTTCACTTACTTCTGTAGCACTGAGAAAATTTAACCAAAAAAGAAAAGCAGTGTTTTAATATAAACTAAATATTTTGAGATACCTTGATATTTTAAGCAGATAAAAAAAAACCCTTCTTTTCATTTCAATTTTTCTTACCTTTTGAATGAATTATATTTTTATCATAGTGAATTATTTGTTTGCATTTTTTTCAGTGTGGTGTTACTAGTGGTGGTAGTGATAAGGAAGTTAAATTTTGGGATTTTGAGCTTATCACGGATGAGCAGTATTCTGTTTCAAAGTATGTACTTTTTAAAATCTGAACTAGTTAAAAGGTTTTCCTAGAGTTTATTTATACTCTAGTTTTATATTATTTATTACTAAAAATGTAATAATTTTAAATCTGTATAATATTTAGGAAACGATTGTCATTAAAACTCAAGCGGACTCTGAAAATGCCAGAAGAAATTTTATATTTAAAATACAGGTATGTTTCATAGCACTTGATATCTTCATTTATGCTTCTAGTTGAGCCAGTATATTTAATTTATCTATGAAATCAATTCTTGTAATTATGCATAATACTCTGTACATTTTTCTGAGGTTTTCAAATTGATTAAGTAACTTTGAGACATATTATTCTTATGGAAATTTAACATTAGCTTTATTATTCTATTACATTAACTAATTTGTATCCAGTTCTGAGGTTTTTAGTTTTATATATAGCATTACACAAATGGATCTAGAAGTTTTGGTTTCATAAAATGAGTTTAGACTTTTGTCTACAAGCCTTTGTTGTTGACTTTTATAGATGTGATTTCTAACAATGCAACATGGTGGATGCTTGAACATTTTCATTATGTAATTGAAAATGAGCTAGTTTCTCTTAACACAATCTTCAAAAGTCACTCTTCTTGAGGCAAATAGGTATTGGTTTCTTTACTTTAATTAATGTATTTTCATCTTCTGTTGGAGGAAAAAAATTACATATTTTTAAAGTATTTTATTTTGGACAGCTAAAATGCTGACTATCAAAAATGCAACATCGTGAAGGAAGCATCCAAACAGCGGGAAACTTACTTCATATGAATACCGCAATGGAATATGCAAATGATTACGATTTCAATGGACACACACACCCATATATAAAGGAGGGAAAGATTGTCATTTTGAATAATGTGAATTGTTCTCTTGTGAGATTTTGTGTGTGTGTGAAGTTTCAGTATGCCTCATAGAAAAACACAAAAACACCATTTGAGCATATTTCTGAGTTCAACCGAGGCAGAATTGTTGCAAACTGAGATTGAAAATTACCCTTCTGTGGAACTGATCATTGTTTTGGATGTAACAAGCAGCAGCCATGTGAATCTAAAATTGATGTCTGGAGGGAACGAATGTTAAACTGGAGCAACTACAACTGTCTTGTCGCACCACTGCACAGGAAGACAGGGATATTATGTGCATGGCACTGATAGAGCATACTACCAGATCAACAACCATACCACAATGAATGCAGTTTGTAACACAACAATCATTTTCTGTGTTATGCTGTCATCATGTATACATTTTACAAGACACTTTATTTACTTTATGAGACATTATTTTTTTAAAAAAAAAACCTATGGTGTGCACATAAATGCATACAACTCCACGACCGATTTTCATAGTCTCATCCCCATTTCACACTCGCTTGGCATGCGCCAGTTTTGTGTTCGATTACTGCCTCTGTTGATGATGGCCTGGCATTCTCTGCTATTACATGTGTCCTTTGAGATAAGAACAAATCTTCTATGATTATCTAATTAATGTACAATTATTTGCAATGGCACGAAAATTGGAACATTCTGCAGGTTCCTTTTCGTATATCTTCTTCAACATGCGCTGGAGAGCTACGCATTTTACATCATTCACATAACTCAATGACATGCATATTGACTCAAAATTTTAATAATTTCCAGGCCATTCTTTCTTGGTGTTGCATTTTCAATGTCGGGTAGTGTATATTTGGATTATTCATATTAAATAACATACAGCCTTAGAGTACATGCTACTCTGTGTTTAAATTTAATGCTAATACAGATTTTGGTTTCCTATTTTGCTTTTGTGGTGGCCTCCACATAAAGCTACTCAGTTTTGATTTTGGTTATAAAAAAAGAAAATTTTGGCATTTTAAATGTTAAAGAAATGATAAATGTTTATGTATGAATATTCAAATTTCTTTATTAAAGAAAATTTAATGTGTTAATTATAATGCATTACATCTTTATTCATTATTAATTTAATTACAATGTATGTTATTCATTATTAATTTAATTATAATGTATGTTTTGAATAGTCCTGACAAAAACAAGCTTGCAGTGGCTTTGCTAGACTTTACTGTTCAAGTTTTATTTTCTGATACTTTAAAGGTAACATCTTTCTTTCCATTACTATCTATTTCAACATGTTATTTCTTTAACTTTTTGACTGCCTGAAAATGGAAACTATGTTTTTTATGTTTGTAAGAGTGATATTTTAGTTTATGACTTGTTTATTAACGTAGATTGCATTCCAACTTCTGTGATTTCCCAAGTTAATGCATTTCATGTTAAATTAATATATGTATATTTATACTTCCAGTAACAATATATATTTATACCTTCAGTAACAATATATATATATATTGTTACTGGAGGTATAAATGTATTTATGTTATTCTGAAATGAAGATAATTGAAAGAAATTCACAAAAGTGGCAGTAATTCATAAACGCAGAAGACATTTTTTAAGGACTTTAAAATAAAAAGTAAATTACACAATATTTCTGATTCTTGTTTTGTTCCTACACTTTTATATCCCATCGGCTACTTTTTCACATAATTTCTATCATTTTGAAAAATTTTTTGTAGCCTGAGGTAAGTTTCTGCAGACCCCATGTTGTAGAAGTGTGCCTGAGAGGATAATTAATCCTTAGCTGCTGTTTTGACTTTAGTTTTAATTTGGAAACACTTAAGGTGAGGAACTTATCAAATGCAAGTAGGTGTGTTAACCTGATAATGCCCAGTTGGGCTTTATGAGAGGGACAGTCCTAAAGCTACCAGCTGAAAGGTTCTAGATCGTATACTTGAGTAGCAGTATGGGACCTTGCATTTTCACACAACAGCGGAACTCTCACAAACAGCATGCCATATAATTTATTCTGAATTTTTGTGAAGTTTTTTTCAAAGTCTGAAAATATGCAGCATCATTTACTGTACACCCTTGCGATATTAAGTTTAATACTATGTAAGCTTGTGAGTTGAGAATGTGTGTTTGAACTTCTCCATCACCAAGAATGAGATGTACTGTTATTCCAGCGAGTGCTGCTTGGATGCAAGAGTCTCATGATACTCAGTGACTAATACTTGGATGCAAGAGTCCCATATACTAGCCTCTTTGCTAGTGCAGTTCATTCATTCATTAATGTCTCATATCAGGTCAATAATATCATTAACACTAGCTAATCTTTTCATTTTATGTTCCTCTTTAAGTAATTTTGGAATCGATCAAGAATTCTACTTCCTGTAATTCAAGTTTTCTGACAAAATTTTGTAAAGAACAGACTGTGAAATTTGTGATATTTAGAGTTTATATAGAAATGGTGAATTGGCTTTTATATGAACTATCACATATACTGCATGCACAAGAACAGTGAATATAGGTGGCCCATTTGAACCTAGTTTGCCATGCATATTTTTCCAGACCTTTCCAGTCTCACCTAACTTTGTTATCTCTGAAAAATTTAGACTACACATTTCACAAATCTGGTGATGCATATTTGCCAGCTTCAATTTTCTTGTAATCAAAAAATGAATAATGAGCCTTATTTTATATGTAGTAAGCTGCTTGATATTCTTAAACATTTCCATTACATGATATGAAATTGATATGTTGCCAATATGCTTGAAAATAGCATCTGTTTGTTTGCAAGGAATGCTGTCAGATGCTACTCATGTGCAAAATTACAAAACCTGCACTTTAAAAGTGTATTGCTAAATGGTTCTTACATAAAAATGTCTTATTTAGTATTACACTATGAATACATAGATTCCAACTACTGTGGACATTCCTTAGTTTCTATGATAATTCATTAAAAATTATGAACTATGAAAAGTCTAGAAAACTATATATGTAATTTTTTAAGAAGTAAATGGTATGCAAAATGAAACCAACTTATTCATCAAATGATTTAAGATATGATCGGGGCATCATTTATCATGTGGTAAATTGACTGTATTATGTTGGTTTTGTAGAGAAAAGAACCTTCACCAGAAAACAAATTGCATGATGGAAAATCTGGCTGTACCACCCGTTGGTGCGAATACCAGAGTGTGAATGCAACACACTGTAGATAATCATCATCCCACAATGCCTGTACTGTTTGGACATGGTTGGGGTGTAGTGTGTCCTCGTGCAGTATGTGCATAAGGGTGTAACAACGTACATGCAAAATGCATTTGGTTGCTTGGAAACTTGTTTGCAGATTTGTTTAAAATTCTTGTTGCACAGCTTCCTGTATGACATACGACAAGTGTGTGTGTGTGTAGAGCATTCTCGACCAATATGGCTATTTACTTTTAAAGCTCCTGCCTTACACAGTTTGCAATGCAGTTGCCTAAACAATGCATGATTTGACTGATGTCTGTTTGGGAAGTGCTCGACGTACGTCTGTACTTCAGCTTGTCCATTTCCATTTTCGGCATCATATATGTAATGCATGTTGGCCAATTCTGAGTTAGTAAACTTATACGTCCTGCAATGTTCTCATCTGAAATGATCATGCTTCCCAATCTCCCATAAGCCGGCAAACGTTACCCTTTAGCGATCACTGTTCACATTTTTGGACACAAGTGTCTGTGTAAATCTTGCTTGTCAAGGTATGACAGAGCAGCATGTTAAGTTTGCAATGACCTTTTGAGACACCCTGTATGTAGCATATAGTAGTATAATCATAATACAAATAATTGAGCATAAGTAATTTAAAGATAATTAGACAAGGATATGAAAAAAAATTAAAAAGGGTTATTAAACTTATATTTTATTACTTTTGTATTATTATTATTTTTATCATTAATTTCATAAAATAGAAACAAGTTTCCAGAACCAAAATATGAAATTGACCAAAAGTTCAATTTTAATGAATGTGATGGCTGTATTTGACGCACCTGATAAGGTTTTTTTTTTTTTTTCCTTTAAATATTTTGTGTAAAATTGCTCTTAAAGTAGCGCATTCAGAAATATATAAACTTGTTTCTTGTCTTTTGTGGTAAGTTATTGACTTAATTGAAGCTTGCTTTCATTGGATAAGAAGAGGGAAGAGTCAATAATATTGGTTGGTTTTCTAGGCTAAATTTTACTAAGTGTACACATGTGTTTTGAATAAGACTTGAAATGATAAATCCTTATATCAACATACTTTCACTTTTCCAATTAAACTCTACTGGGTGTCAATCCTTGCTGATTTTATAACTTTATCCAAGTTTTCTAATTATAAACAGCTAAATTGCAACATCAATATTAAATATTAATATATAAATTAACATCAATATTATCTATTAAAAAAAGATCTTATATCAGAAAAAGATGCATATGCTAGAGCAGAAACCACTTTAACATGTAAAATCATCACATTGTTGATTGGAAATTAATGTAGTAGTATGTAATCACATTCTCGACTGAAGTAGCTTCTAAAATATGAAAATAAAACTTACTTTAATCCTAACTCTGAAAGTTCTTCCACTACTTTGTTAGTTTAAACCCCTATTACAAAATCTTCATCTTTCTTTCACAATTTCTGTTTCACAATAAATCACATCGTATCGCACCATATATAGAATTAAAAGAGCCCTTCCCCCCAAAAAAGTTGGTTTTACAAACGTTGATAAAAAATCTTTAGACAAATAATAAATCATTAATTGTAAAATGTGAATTAATGGAATTCTGCTTTGTAGAACTGTGTTAAGAACATTGAATGATGGCATAATGAATTGTTATAAAAAACAAAAGGCCTTTGTTAAGGTCTGAAGACAAAAACATAAATATTCGTTCTTCAAAAATAAACTTAAAAAATATAATTTATATAATATTTATATATTTCAAAAAATATCTTGTCGATGAGGGGTGATCCCATATCCCTAGTAAATAATATAAAAGGTAAACAAAAATGTTTTCTCTCGTTAGGCAGTTTTTTTTTTTTTTTTATTATTATTTTGAGAGAAATTTCTATCAGCTTTACATTTATATTTTGAGTATTATTTTGAGAACTGCCATCGGTGCAGTTGCTCATCGGTGCCAAAAGTATTTTTCTCAAACCTATTTTTAACAGTGGAAGTAGTAACTACATCTCCATTTACTTTAGGTGTTTTATAACTTTCAATAGAACCTTTTATCTTAACTCTAGAAGTATTTATTCTTCTTTAGAAAATGCAAGTAGCAGGGTTGCCATGCTACTTAGAAAACTGGGAAAACCGGAAAAAGTCAGGGAATTCGAAAATTGACCAAAAAAGTCAGGGAATTTAAATATTTTAGTCAAAATCTGGAAAAGTCAGGGAATGTCATACGGCAATCCTCCCAAAAGTGAGTTTTGCGCCAATGTTGGAAGCGATGACTTTGTTGGCAAATTATGTATCGGATGAGTGTCATTCGGGCAGCTGGCATAGAGCCAATTTTCACAGCAACAATCAGATTATCTTTTAGAAAGGCAAAACAAGTTTCCGACAAGTTTGGTTTCCAGTAACCTCGAGAATCCTAAGACTCGCATGTGCAGGTACCTTCCCATTCTCGTATACAACAAAATCGGTTTAATTTTAATATATACGGTACCATGGAGGCTAGAATAGCCCCCATGTACTCTGTTCTAATGTAAGAATGTCTTTGTAAAGAAAGAAAGGTTCCATAGACGTAATGTAAATCAGTTTGCTAGAGTGCCGCTAGAAAGTGGAGGGAAAAACTCGGCAAGGGATTTGGCAACAGAACCTGACGGCGAGAATTTCCCTCTCCGCGATGTGTACAGGAAATTGTGGTGCATGTGTTAAGAAAAAATGTTCTTTGACTTTCGCAATAATTTATACTCGGATTTTCGTACTTTTTTTGCTCAAAATAACTAATCTGTTAATTAATTTACTCGTGCTATTTTCTTTTCCCTTAAAGTTTACGGAAATTAAAAATGATATTCATTTTATGTACTCTTGATAAACTTGACTTTTGAACTTCGTGAGCTTCGGCGGCAGATATTTGCGCATGCGCAGCTGTTTCCCTCTATGTTGGGGTGGAGCCTTTCCTGTTGTATCTTAACAATACATATTTTATTCTCACGTCCATGTACGCTACACATGGGATTTGGCGATATTATGATGAGCAATAACAACAGTTACCTCTTTCTGTCTTTTAGTCTCTGTTTAACAAGGTGTTGGGTAGTAAACCGATCATTTTGGTGTTGGCGGCAGTTTCCAAAATTGTACAAAGGCCGTAGTGAAGACTAAAATTTTACTGCAAAATCTTTTTAACTTTTTTTTTTCATTTTAATAAATGCCATATTTTTTATTTTGCAGTAAAATAAAAAAATAGTAATCAGTCATCTAGGCTAACGTAGTTTAATATCGGCCAAAATAGCATTGATTATTGTAATTAAATTTTTAAGTACAGTCAAAAGTCTTTAATCCGGACTCGTCGGATCATCGACGATTCCGGATTATCGGTTTTTCCGGATTATAGATCATCAGTTTAAATCTGGTAAGATGGCATGCAGAAATTATAAAATTAAAAAATATGAAACCGTAACTTATGAAATAAAGAGCAATGATCTAAAGGATATCAAATTACAAAAAAAGCTTAATATTTATTTGTTTACTTTATTAACCATTTCTTTTCCAACGCGCGCATGTGTAAAGCATGCATTACGCATAGTCGAAATTGAAATTGCAAACCAAAAACTATTTCATGTGTTTTCCGTATATTTTAATGACGAGGACACTGTTTAAATTATATCGGAGTAACATCGAGATGAAACACTACATTTAGTGAGGAATTATAAGCTGAATAAAATAAAAACATCTGCCTTGAAGATGAGGATAGTGCTGACAGATCAACTTCCAGTTCATTGCATCGCATGCGTAAAGCATGCATTACGCATAGTCGAAATTAGAAAATTGCAACCAGAAGGCTATTTGATGTGTATTAGTGATATTTATAATGATGAGGAAATTGATTTTTAAATTATATCGGAGTACATCAAGATGAAACACTACATTTAGTGAGGAATTATAAGCTGAATAAAATCTGCCTTGAAGGTGAGGATAGTGCTGACAGATCAACTTCCAGTTCATTGTGCGCTGCATCGTTTCCCTCCCCCCGCATAACAGCATGAAATTGATAAACATATTTCGGAATGATTAGATAATCAAAGGATATGCCTTTATCCATTTTTTGCAGCTATTCCACTTTCTGTTTAATGGACTTCGAAACATACTTTCGTTTTGTAGATCCTTTACATATTAGTAAATATATATCGGAAATTCTATTTGACATAATCGAAAGTTCAAGCTTACTTTTATAAAATTGCTCTAACAGTCTGCAAAAAATAATAAGCCAGATCCAGTTCGAAGATTAAGGAACAATGCAATCTGCAACATTAACTGAATTGGATAATTTTAGCTTAGCTTATATCGTCCGTTATACATTAAACGTGCATGCGTAAACGTGTTATGCGCATGTGCACACACATATTCCCAGCTGTAAAGGTCTTATGCGCACGCGTAAACGCCTATGCTCATGCGTCAACACGACGCATACGCAGAAAGTTTGTAGCTTTGAGGTCCGGATTATGAGTGTCCGAATTAAGGACTTTTGGCTGTAATAATAAATATCACCAATGTATTCATTCACATGTGTTTGTAAAGACGCAGCCCTTTTTTCAGCTGCTAAATTTAAGAGGTGACAGGTGCACCTCATAATTTGCAAATCTGAATTTTTCATTTTTAAGATGCCTGCAACACTAGTCCATTACTCATGCATAATCAGCACCAAGTGCAGAGGAATTGCATTTTCTTTTAAAGTTTTCATAATTAGCTGTGTTATTTTAAAACATGTCAAATGTCCTTCTAAAGTGGGGACAGAGAGTAAACTACACTCAATTTCTGAAGATACTGGATTAAAAAACGAAACAACAGTTGGATGCAGTTGTGAATTGGTATTATTGCTTCCCTTCATGGAGATGCAGAATAGAACTATTTTAATGCACAATCAATATTTCAGCTTCATTTTATCAATTCACTTAAAACAGTGTGTTTGTGAATCTTGAATTTTATTCACCATTTGTCTGGTGCATAATAATCCTCGAGGTTTTGTGTCATTAAAAAATCAACCTTTTCCAACCAACCAATGTACAATCAATAACTGAAGATTTATTTTTCATGCTCATTTCTTTAACTATTGCAGCCATTTTGGTTCTTGAGATTTGGTCCTTAGCAACTTTACTATTGGGAAAACATTTTTCAAAATAAAGCTGCAGCATGACCTGATTCATTCAGTGGCAGATTGTGCTCCTGTAAATAGGCAGAGAACAGGCATTCTGCATTTATAACTTTTTGGTCCTTTGTTTCCACAGTTTTTTTCATTTTTTTTTCGAATAGAACTCATGTTGTCCTTGTGTTTTTGTGTACGCACATCTTTGAGGACATCAGCCCTTCCACTGTGTGAAATCAAAAAATTGCAACGATAAACGGTATTGAGGAAATAATAGAAGGAAAGTCAACTGTGTATGATGTTTGAAAAATGAATATATAACCTTTTTCATACACATAACTAAAACAAAAAGTTGTAAGTTCTTAAACTCTTGAAAGCATGTGCACTTACACCCCTCATAGACAAGATAAATGAAATAACTAACTTGATCTTGCTTTGTGCTCATTGGCTAATGTATGCCAGATGACATGTAGTGGCACTTGATGCTCATTGAAGAATTGGAACACAATGTTTTTGCGCACATGTTCTCAGAAGTGAACTATAATATGTCATGTGATGAAACAACTTTGATTTTCTCTATCTGTAATCTAGAAAAAAAATTAACTGTTTTCAGATACCCAAAATCACTTTTCTTTTTGGTTCAAATAACAAAGCCAAGCTACATAAAAATCATGAGAAATTTTAAGAGAAAGTCCGGAGAAATATGCTATAAATCGGGTTCGTTGGTGAGAGAATGGTTGGAAATCGGGAGAGTTGGCAACTCTGTATCAACAAACAATCACAGCTGCCAATTCTCCTGCTTTTACTAGATGTCTCCTGGTTTACCAAGAGACAGGTGGTTTTTTGACATATCTCCCAGTTGATAACCAAATTTTCTTGCTTTTAATTTTTAGCTGCTTAATTTGTATAAATAAAATTTGCACAGTTTCATTAATGAATTATTGAATTAATGAAGCTTAAATTGTAAAAATTTCATTCCCATATCCATAGTGATCTTCAGCAAGATTTTCTTATTAAATTTTATTTGATCTGAATCTGCTGTAGACATATAGAGTTTTGTATGAAGATTCAATCAATTGTTTTTGCTGTAAATTTTTGTATTTGATTTTGTTTTAATCAATATGTAGACTCATTAGGCTCATTTTGGAACATGAAACATATGCAATGCCTTCACCAGGATTCGAACATCGGACCTTCCAATTGCTATCTGGATATGGTTTTATTACCCCATGAAGGCGTAGGGTGTTTTGGACTTAATCACCAAATCCTGGTGGTAACGAATTATCGTCCACCACATTTTAGTTCATATCACTGCAGAGTGATTTTTTGATTTTTTAGAAGCAGGAGATGTAAAAAATGTTTAGTGCCCTCACCTGGATTTGAACTCCAAACCACCTGATTGCTATTGGGATGTACTTCCAGTTACATCATGAAGGTACTAAGGAGGGAGAAAGTACCCTACAAATATATGATATATTACTAATAGTATTTGCACAAGTATATACACTTAAGTAATTATTAATTTTAGTTTTATTGTTTTTAAAAATACTTTGATAAATTGAAGTTTCCTTCTGTTCTCAGAATTTTCTTGGTATAAAAATGTAATAAAATGCTGAAATCATAATATAAATATTTGAATAAACTGAATCATGCATTATAAAGCAAGTTTTAAATCAATTTTGAATTCTTTTAAAATGGTGCTACTGTACAGTATGAAAACCATCTGAGGAAACTCTTAGTTTTTGGTGAGTGAACTTCCCAGTTTTTTACATTTCTCAAGGTTGGCAGCTATGAATAATTAATCATCAATTTTATTAATACATTTTCTAATCAATGGGTTTTTGATTATGTTGATTAATTGGTGATGTGTGTTCCTTCAGCTGTTAATCCTTTAATCACCGTAGACTCTCTTTAAATTTTTGTCGATCTTCTGGGGATCCATACTGACTCTTGTGGGAATCCGTCTTTAAAAGTATTATCTAATTTCAGTTAAGTGCTTTTGTTTCATATGTTTTTTTTTTATGAATTGTATTATTCGTCCTTGGTTCTATGTAGTCCTTAGAAATTTGTTGTCTGAAATGAATAACAGGAATGCAATTTACTGCTTTCAAATTAATAAACTCTTTTTTCCTCCACTTTTTCTTCTTTTCGTAAAAAAAAATCCGCAATTTAATATTGTAGTCAAGAGCATTTTGATTTATACATAAATTATTTGCAGCTTGCCTTTTCGCTTTATGGACATGCTTTGCCAGTAACATGTATGGACATATCCTATGACAGCTCTTTAATTGTGACTGGTTCAGAAGACAAAGATGTACGAATATGGAGTATGGAATTTGGGAGTTGCAATAAATTTCTGAAACGAGCTCATGACAAAGGGTAAGAATTATCAATTTTTTAATTATGAAAATTAAATGGAACACACATTTAGTTGTCACATGCAAAAAAATACATTTAATGTGCTATGGTTAGGAAAGTTGTATTGTGAAAATATCTGTCTTTGAATAGTTATGTTCTCCAATGTTATATTAAATAGTTAACTAAAATTTATTTCTTATTTAATTAATGGTTAATTTATGTCATTTAATTTTTATTGATGATTAATTTCTAATTAAATCTAATTCATTTGTATACTTGGAAGTTAGTATACTTTAATTTAACTTAATTTCTAAGTAGAGGATTAATGCATAAAGTCTGAGGCAAATAAGTCAATTTCTGTAGCTAGTATATTTGTAGGAAAGAAACTTTCAGGTGTAAAAAGTATGTTAAAGATATATTTTTTCATAATATAAAAATTGTCTTTATTGTACAATGAATGTAATAAAACTATTATAGAAATCTATCTCAAAATGAAAGATATTTTAGTCATATGAGTAAAAATAAAAATATTATACTAATTTATCTGAAAACTAGAAAGATATTTTAGTTATGTGTGTAAAGACTTGATTTTAATTATTTCTAGCAATAAATATTTCTTGTACATTAAGAAAGAAGTCTATAAATGACGTTTATCTCCTAAGGTGATCATCCATAATTTCACACAGTGTTGTTTTACTTTGAAAGTAGTTACCTGCGAGAGATGCTATTCAATATCGTTGCTAATTTATGTTCTGAGAAATACTAGTCACTTTTAGAGGTGATTGCTATTAGAGTTTTCAGGATGCTTTTTATAGAAACTGTCTACATTCTAAAGATTTGTTTTGTCAAAAAGTAAAATTTTTTTGTAGTTAATGATTTGAAGATCTAGAAAGTCTATGCTATTTTGTGAATTATTAGTTTTATTAAGTTTAAGACAATTCGGATAAATGTCGGAGTTTTCAATTTTACCAAAATTATTAATTGTAATAAGGTCATCAATATATCTGTAGGTGTGTTTGTAGAAATTTAACTTTTGTGGTTGTAGATTTTTTTGGAAGTTAAATTCTTTGACAAATAAAAAGATATTACAGATCAAGGTGCTGGAATGTAAGCCCATTGGCAATCCTCTGACTTGTTTAAAAAGTTGATTTTGAAACTTAATGTAGTTATGAAAAAGTGTGCATTTTAGGTAGGTTTTCCATTTGTCAAGAGTCATGATATTGAGTATATTAGGGAAAAGTATTGGTAGATCAAGTAGACAGGTATAGATTTCTTCTAGAGGAAGTGAGGTATATAAGTTTTCAAAATCATAGCAGTTAATGCTTTGGATGTTAATGGTATGAATGGTATTAATGACAGGAGTGTTATTATGAATGATCCAGCAATAGTTATGATTAGTGTTACAATCATTGAAAATAAATTTACAGATTTTATTAAGTTGAATTGAAAAATAATAGTCTATATTTTTCTTGTAATTATTAGTTCCATTAACTATAAATCTAAATTTTAGTGGTGTTTTATGGAATTTGGGAATCACATAAAGATTAGTAAATCTGTTGTAGTTTGCATTGAAAGTAATATTGAGGTTCTTATGAAAAGTTTTAATCCTGTTTATTATAGATGTTTCTGTAAGGTTGGCTAATTGATAAGTAGTTGCATTGAGAAGTTCTTTATGAATAATCTCAGTGTAGAATTGTTTTCATATAATGCTAAAGTTATTAGTTGCTTTATCTATTTTTGTAATAGTAAAAAGCTGTTTTAATTTATTAATATCTGATGTAAGTTGCGACCAATTCAGTGTACTTTTAAATTTGAGGTGACTGATTTCTGTGGATATGCATTGAAGAATTTTAGCTTTCCATTTTAAGAAGGTATCTATGGGTAAATTCAGTTGATAGCTTGCTTTAACTATAAATTCGTTGATGTTGTTTTCGAAAGTCTTGTAACAGTAATTTGTAGTCATGTTTCTGACTGGTCTAAATTTTGTACCATAACTCATTAGTGTTTTTAGTTGATGGTTTTGTATGATATTCAGGTTGCCAGTAATTATGTGCTGGTGATGAGAATCTACATAATTGCTGTAAATTGGTGTCTTACAATGTCATTCTGCAGTTTCATCTATTTCATGGTGGTTAGTAAGCAAGTTGCTTAAGGTCCTTTGATATTTAAATGCAATCATTGGTATTGAAAATAGATCACCTAGCCATTTTATCAGACTTATAAATTTGTATTGAATTATAATAATAAAATACAATAGATAATTATTATTATAGGAATTTTTTTTTTCTGTATTTAAATGCGTGACTGATTAAGTCAAAATTGAGTGATGCTCATTGTAATGATAATAGAGTTTTTATACATGTTATTTTTTACTTTATTTCAGTATAACTTGTTTGAGTTTTTTACCTAAGACTCATTACTTTTTCACTGGAGGAAGAGACAATGTTATTAAGCAATGGGATGCAGATAATTTTCAAAAAATTACTACCTTAAAGGTAAGACATTTTACATTATTTAGTGACAACAACCAGCATCAGGTTGTTATCACTATTAATGTAAAATTTAAAACTGAATGCAGAAAGTTAATATTTTATGTAAAGATGTTGTTTAATTAAACACTGTGCTCATATTTTACTTATATAAATTTTTATGCATTATGTTTATTAGATTGTGTGGAACTACTCTTATATGTGCCCTCAGGTTGCCAAATTTCTTGCCAAACATTTTTGGTGAAAAACTCCACGCTGCCATATTACTACCTAAAATTTTTGTCTCCCTTTCGAATTTTAAGCCTAAAATGTCTCCAAAAACGCAGTTTTCGCACATGCAAAAACCACGTTTTGAAGACGCAATTTAAGCTAAAAATCCAAAACAAAAGCAAGAAATTTAGATAGCAAAAACGTAAAGTTTCTAACCAGAAATATATGACGAGAATCCATGTACACAGCGACATGTTTTAACTTCAAAAACCATTCTAGGCAGCGAAGGAATCTACAAACTATGCCCACCTTGCTTCAATAAATTAACATAACAACAATAAATTTCAAAGAATACCACGTACACAGCATTCTGTTTAAACTTTAAAAAAAATCCATGAATTGCACAATTTAGGCATTGCGCACAAATCAACCCAATAAACTAAACTAAATTACAAACAATTCAAAAAACAACAATAACAACAGAAATTCATAGTAAAAAAACATCGAACATAATATTCTACAAAATAAAAACAGTAAAATAAAATGCACTTACCATAATACATTTCTGAATAAAATTTCGCCAATAACACAACGTCTCTGAACAGAAATGCCACGATTTTGCTATATCACATGTCTTTCTGAGATTCAAAATTTCGAAAGTAACGATAAAAACTTCCTCCAAAGTTAACATACTACATGAAAACCACAATCCAAATCTTAAACTCCGCTGACAACCACATATTTTACCAGCAACCATTTGACTGCAAATCCACACAAGAACTATCAGAAATGCCCTTCTTCGACTGAGTTCTCATAGCAGCACCCCATTTCGGACTCCATTTTCAAAGTCCCACAGAAATTCCAAAAATACACTTCAATCCTCATAAACAAACCTGTGAACAAAAGACTCGTTAACAACTCCAACATCGACCTGCCATTTCAAAACACACACGACACAGACCAACGAGCAATTAAACGGCTCTAACAAAATATTTTTCAATGCAACAGGGTTGCCATACAACACGCAATCGCGCCCAAAACCAGCGCAGAACACATATTCACACATTTGGTGATATTAGGGCGCATATAAGAGTAGAGCCGATTGTGTTTTAATGTGCAGCAGTGGAGAAACAAATTATAGTTATATTTTAGTTTGGTATATTGATCTTTAAAAAAAGGTAAGCTTGCATGTATGAATACAAAGCTTGCAATAAAATACAAAGCAAATGGTTTGGTGGACTATAACTGCTTTCAATAATCTCATAATACCTCAAACTCATAATTATAAACTCATGGCTTTCTATGAGCCTTTTCAGTTTCTCTCTCATGCCTGCAGTGGTGACTCTCATTACATAACATAATATGTCAAGTGACTGCTCCTGCCCATTGTAGTGGCATGGACTCCAAAACTAGACTTATAGCCAGAGACTGCAACTTCCGTTCTTACTAGAACACAGTGTAAAATTTTCTATTTAATGCCTAACTGTTAATTGGATATTTAACTAATTACAGTTAACTAATTACAGTTAAATATCCAATTAACACTTAAGCATTCAGTTTCAATTAAATCCTGAAATGTTCTAAAATGTCTTCAAAATTTGATGATAGTTTTGTGCAATAAACACTTAAATGACAAATACCGTAGTGTTTCTTCCATCAGATGAGCCAACCAACACTTGCTGTGTTCCTCTTCATTGAAATGAATATGAAAATGCAGTGCATTTTGCTGTAAAATAGCCCTGAAATAGGCCCATTGCCCCTGAGCTATGTAAACCAAACATACAAAGTTTCACTCACATTTCATAATCACATTTTTTCACAGTTTATTGCACATTCCATAAATCTTGATACACACCATTCTTCTATTTCTGTTCATTCCTTTTTCTAGTCTGTCCAATGCTATAGCCATCAGCTAAGCCGGCAGCATTGTCTCTCCCTTGTCCAGTCTCTTGATAGCCCCAAGTTTTTATTCTTTCATCACCATTCTTTCTGTACTTCCATATATTTCAACTTTTTAACATCACAATAATGTCTGTCGAATCAAATACACAACACACAAACACATATGCATGAAAAGTAGCAGGTGATAAATCAATCTGCATTCAATGATAAACTGCACTACACTGAATGACTTTTGAAGCACTACACTGAAAGACATGAGTCATTATGTAGATAGGCATGGTAATTAAGTAATAAATTTCTTCTGATTAAATTCAAGGTAGATGCGCACTTTGTGTAAATATTTGTAAGCAAATATTTTGTGTTTTAATTTGTAATTTTAAAATCAAATTTGAGTGAAAACTTGAAATTTAAAAATGAAATAGTACTTAAGTAATATCATATTATGAAGTACTGAGGGATCTTATCACTTTTCAAGAAGTTCCATTGCAAAAAATTAAACTTTAATAATTTTTGTTAGTCTACCCTTGAAATTGCATGCTTGAAATTGCATGGGACTGAAATTAATTTCATATTTCAATAAAAATTTCAAATATTTGAAGCACATGAACTAAAGTACATTTCAATGTGAAGTGTTCCATTTGTGTAAATTCATTTATTGCATTATTATATTTAGTGTAATGACTGGGTTAACTGGTTTTATATTTATTAAACTATTACAGAAAGCATAAAGGCTAATCAAAATGTTGTGATAGTTTTCAGAATGTGAGAAAGGTTTGAAATATTCATAATGAACCTAAAAATCAAAAACTTAAAAAAAAAAAAAAAAAAAATTAATTAATTAATCAACAAGAAGAACTGAGAGTTGTAAATGCAGTCTTTTTTGGGGGAAAGGGCTGCTCATGATTTCTACCACCTACCATGCCTATCTACATAATGCTCGTGTCTTTCAGTGTAGTGCTTCAAAGTCATTCAGTGTAGTGCAGTTATATTGTATGCAGATTGATTTATTCACCTGCTATTTTCATGCATATGTGTCTGTGTGTTGTGTATTGCTTCGACAGACATTATTGTGATGTAAAAAGTTGAAATATATGGAGTACAGAAAGAATGGTGATGAAAGATAAAAATTGGGGCTATCAAGAGACTGGACAGGGAGAGAACAATGCTGCGGCTTAGCTGATGGTATAGCTTGGACGACTAGAAAAGGAATGAACAGAATATAGAAGAATGGTGTGGTATCAAGATTTATGGCGTGCAATAAACTGTGAAAAAATGGATTATGAAATGTGAGTGAAACTTTATGGTTTGGTTTACATAGCTCAGGGGCAATGGGCCTATTTCGGGCTATTTAAGCAAAATGCACTGAATTTCATATCATTTCAATGAAGAGGAACACAGCAAGTGTTGGTTGGCTCATCTGATGAAGAAGAAACATACGGTATTTTCATTTAAGGTTTATTGCACAAAACTATCATCAAAATTTTGAGACATTTTAGAAACATTCAGGATTAATTGAACTGAATGTTAAGTGTAATGGATATTTAACTGTAATTATTAAATATCCAATAACAGTTAGGGCATTAAATACAAAATTTTACACTGTGTTCTAGTAAGAAGGAAGTAGCAGTCTCTGGATAAGTCTAGTTTTGGAGTCCATGCCACTAAATGGGCAGGAGCAGTCATTGACATATATGTTATGTAATGAGAGTCACCACTGCAGGCATGAGAGAGAAACTGAAAAGGTCATAGAAAGCCATGAGTTTATAATTATGAGTTTGAGGTATTATGAGATTATTGAAAGCAGTTATAGTCCACCAAACCATTTGCTTTGTATTTTATTGTGTGACCAAACAAGTAGTAAGGAAAGGCTGTTAATTTTCCATGCTGTAATTCTACAACAAACCTTATAGTGATTGGAAAGTCTCAAAATCATAGAGTCTTTAGAACAGTTTTCAAAAATTCTACACTATTTTCAAAAACGCTTGTGGATGAATACTGAAAGTTTCAAAGATGGATCGTTTAAGGAATTCATTCCTTCGACAGAGAAATTTTTGCAAAATCATTTATCCCAAAAAAGCCATTTTATTGCCAGATAATGTTCCAGTACACTGATATAAAAAGCTTCAAGATGGTGGCATTAAGACAATGTGTCTGTCTCTCACTATAGTCACTGTATGCCTGTATTCCTAAAAGTCTACAAGCTATGGAAAATACTGAAAAACTGCGGATTTTACTGAAAGGAGGGCTAGAAAAATTTTATGCAAAATGGAAGTAACTTATTCATCTGATGATTGACAAAATGTACATAACAATATGTATCACCTGTCAAGAATATGATCTTGCGGGTTTCAAAAAATTGCCAACTGTAGAGCAGCTAGTTCTGACTCTTATCTTTCCAATCAAGCACCCTGCAGTGAAGCACTTGCTTACCTTGAGGTTCCGTTCAGATATTTGTATTATGGTGAGAAAATTCATCACATGCTTCTTGTAAGATGTGATTAAATTGGAATAGTTTTCGGTTGTGCCCAGCATAAAATGTAACTGTAAACAGTCTGTATTTTCTCAAAGGCATAAAGAAACTAGTGCTTGAAAATTGAATAAAATATCAAATTTCTGCATACAACTGAATTAAAGTGGAATTCTTTTTTAAGTTTGTAAATACTGAAATTTTTTTAAGTTCATGCCACTTCGAAATAAGAAGCTAAAATTATCAAACAAGAAATTTAAAGATTCATATTTTGTGGAATTTCAGTGCATTTATGTTTCTGTGAATCATGCACTTCGCACTAAGGGGAAAAAAAAAAAAAAAAAAAAAAAAAAAAGACCTTTCAGTTATGCACAGCATAAAAGCTGACTATAAAGGGCACATTTTTTCAAAGAAATACAACATTTCTTTGTGAAAGATCATGAAATAGATGTTATATACAAACGCTCTAATTTCGATTTTAATTGAACACAACTCCATTTTGAATTTCAAACCATTCGTAGCAGCTTTCAAATGTAATATATCTGGATCCTGCCATAGTAAAAAAATACCTCATTCATAAGTAAACCTTTGAAAGAATTTTTGTTTTATTAAGTGAAAAAAAAATCAGTCTTTATTTCAGTCAAACTTGGTATGAAAACTCTTCAAGCTATTCTCACTGAAAAAATAAATATGCAGCAAATGAAGAAATATCTTTAAGCTTGTGAAGCATACTACTTATAAATCTTTACGTGTGTAATTTATAAGTGAATTGTAAGTAATTTTTTAATGATTATATGTATATTTTGATAACCATGTAGTATGCGATTAGTCAGTTGTTTATTTTTTAGATGTCAGCAGTAAAATTAGTTGTTTTAATCATTTCTTTTTTCCACCATTTTTTCACATGTATGAATTTAAAAATACCGCATTAGTGGTGCCCTCTAAGAAATAACTGACTAAATAAAAGCAGTAGAACATATACTGCATGATTAAACTGTATTTCTTATTTCTATCTAAATTTTATGATTATTATAATTTTTATTTTCCTGTAGAAATCAGAATCCAAAAACCTCATAAAGATATATGATTTATGGATTCTTCTTTCCTGTGCGATTATTTGTGATTCATAATATTTGCTTCAGTAATAAATTGGTAGATTTAGTGATATTTCTGTTTGAGTTATAAAATGAAAATTTCTAATAAATATGCATATAGTATATAAGAAGTATTTTTAAGTGTTAATTTTGTAAGTATTCATGAATTTTAAGTATTTAAATTAATTACATTTTATTATTCATTAAATATAAGAAACAGTTAATTAAAATATATGCCATACATGCATATTTTCAGAGTTTTAAAAATGTCTTTCACATGTTAACTACTGACAGGTTTTGCTATGAATTGAAGATCTGTTATTTTATATTTGAAAGCTTGAAATAGATTAAAAATTCAGTCGCATTTTTTTAATAGCAGTTTTTTTAGAGTATATTTCAAAAGGATAAGTTTTTGTAGTTAGCTAATCTCATCTATTGCTTCTTCTGAAAGGGTCATCAAAATGAAGTGTCATGTATGACAGTAAGCCCTGATGGTAGTACTTTAGTGACTGCATCAAAAGATAAATCTATTCGCATTTGGGAAAAGACTAATGAAATTTTAGTGTTGGAGGAAGAGCAAGAAAAAGTAAGTTGAAAACTATTAGCAATGTATTTTGATACTGAGAAAGATATTTCAGATAACAAAACAGCAGTTAGAAAATCAGAAAATTAGAAGCTTATAAATCAAAAATTCTTTATTTTTGGAAATCTTAAACAAGTATCCTGAAAGATATACTCATGTAAATCTTTGAGATATTATGATCTGTAATGTGCAGTATATAGATAGCTATGAATTCATTATAAGTGTCATTCATTGGTTTGTAATTTGTCGTATAGTGTTTATGAAAAGTATCAAACTTAGTTGCTTTCCATATTGACTTTGTTATTGATGTAGGTGACAAGGATATTAATAACTTGAGAAGTTGGATGCGAATGGGAATAAAGGATCTGTATTTAAAATAATTGCTAGCTGTCATTAAGACAAGTGTATTTCCTTTAAATGGAAAGGTTACAGTAATAAAATCACACATTACGAAACGGATTGTTGCTTTGTTGTTATAACAAACTTCATACTGAAAATATAAAAGCACATCAAGGTAAACAACTGAATTTAGTACCTATATGAGGATATCCCAGTTCAGGTATAGTTTTTGTATGACATTTGATAAATCCAATATTTAATATGCAGAAAATTGTAAACTGTTTGTTTTTGATTGGTCGCAAACACTTAGCTGACATGGGCATTTAATCAATAAGACATTTAGACAACAGCATATTTTGCTGACAGTATAGATATTTCGACAAAAGCATGCTACAATGTTTAGTGAAATTTGTAAATAGTTATCCAAAAGGTCATTTCCAGTATGCTTAATGAGAAGGTTTGGGGAAAAGTACATCATTTTTCTCTTCATCTAGTTCTTTACAGACATATAATTTAAAATTACACAGAAAAGGCAACCATAGGTTAGTGTAGATTTTTAAATCAATTTCGAGAGTGATCAGACATAGATCCCTTTGTTTCAGGAGGAGAAGAGAAAATTTCAGCAGTAGAAGTAGCAACAAGATTTTATATGGAAAGCAGTGGGTGGAGCAAAGTAAAAATGAGTGTAATGCAATCTGTTGAGAAAAATGTTAGGTAATAGGAATAGTAAATAGTAAAACACGAAAAAGCTAAGCTATTAGAATTTTGAAAGCACTGGTAAGAGCTAAACTGGAAAATGAATGTCATTAACTAAAGAAAAAAAAATTGCTAATGTGAAAGGTTCAAAGAAATCCAATTTCTTAACTGAAGAAACAGCAGGGCATTTCACATTTCAAATTGTTGCCGCTAAATATTATTGCCCTGTATTATTTTTAAAGAAATTAAACAATGAAGAATCTGCATGATGTATATTTTTCACATTTAAGAAAATGACAGTACCTAGACCCATCAAATTTTTAACAATGTAGTCATCCACTTGAACATGTGCACCTGGAAGCCTGAATTTTAAATTTTAAATTTATTTTATTATTTATTTCATATTTTACAAAACTTTAAATAAACTTTTGATTACTAAACTCAATGAATTGAAAGCAAGCAAGTTTTTGTATTTAATTTGCTATTTTTACTAGAATTGTAATTAAATTGTTTAATTTCCCCTTGCATTGCAGCACGCAATGAATTTTACGAGAAAGCTACTCTGAAAAAGTAAAAATATAGGAACATGCGCATTTAACATTTAATAAATAGATATCTCGTAATTGTACTCTTTTGCTTACCGGAAAAATCGAGAAAATACAAGAATATTCTCATGCATGATTAAAAAGCTTATAAAAGCCCTAGGAAAACATCACAATTCAGTTGTTTACTTAGTGCTATTATTGATTGTAGCGAATTCGTGGTGAGACCAAATTAGCTTTCTCTGTGTTTTTTTTAATTGTGTTCTATTTAACGTTTTAGTAGTTCAAAATATAACTACTGTGAGATATTGTGATATTGTACGAATATCTCTGAGGAAATATTTCAGCATTTTGTTTTTATTTCTTGTAATAAAAATAAATTTTATTAACTTTTTATCATCTTGTGTATTCACTCCATTATGAACCTGTAAGCACGCAACAATACTTATCTTTCTGTTTTAATTAACAAACTTAGCTCTATGAAAGCAATGTGTTGTTGTGGCTGGAAATAAAATACTTTTATCTTTCACATGCCAGCGTGTTTCCATTCAGTAAAGTGTAAGATACTTTCAAATTTAATCTGGAAGTTTATTAAATGATAAACTAACAGATTTAAAAGCGATAAACATAGTTCTTAAGAAATACAGTACAAAGTCTGAGATCCAGACTTGTCGGGACTTCAGGAATTCTGGATTTGGGATTTTTCCGGATATTAGACTATCAGTTTAAATCTAGTATGATGGTATATAGAAATTATAAAATTAAAAATATAAAATCATGATTTATGAAATAATGAAGCATTTATGATTTAAAGGGAATCAAAATTTACCAAAAAAACAAAATAAAATAAAAAGAGAGAGAGAGAGCTTAATATTTATTTAATATTTATTTGTTTACTTTATTAAACATTTCTTTTAATGTAAATTGTTTAAGTTTCTTCATTTTTGTGCTAATATTTCTCTTTAATTCTATAGACAGACATAATTTCTTGTTCTGTTACAAAGTTCCAATGTTCAAGTTCTGTAATTGCTGTGTCAAGCATTCCTACTAAGCAGTCAAATGAAATTTTTTCATTTTCAATAATCTCTCTTTCACTTTCTTCATTATCAGTAGTGATATTTTCTGGATTTAGAACCTTATCACAGATTTTGCTGTCTGTTAATTGATTGATGATTGGGGTTTCATCACAGTAAAAAATTTGTCTTATATCATCTTCATTTATTACCGCTTCTCTCTATTTCTTTACGAAATCCATCAATTGGAAAATTTCACCTTTGGTTTGCAATATCCGAAAACCTTCTAATTTGTGGATATCATTTTCATCATCCTACCATGAAATATATGAAATATGTTAGCTGGCCATAAATTATGCCAAGCACTTCTTAAAGTATCTGGAGACTGCTACTTTATATTTGAATTTGAGCGGGTGCACTATTCTGATATCCATAGGCTGAATGATGGACATACAGTTTGAAGAAAAGAATAATACAGATACATTATCTTTCACTAAAACTTAATTCAAGTGTCAGCCAAACAGGTATCCATACATTCAGGGCAATTTTTGCGTCATTAGGTAAACCAACCAAATTCAAATGTTGCCGAGCCTCGAGTATGAGATGATTTTCAAACCAGTCATTCATTAATGCTTGTTTCATCCATGTTTATTTGCATGACATATAATGAGGAAAATCTTCACTCCTTTAAATGCTAGAGGTCGTGTATTTTTTCTAATTGTGAAAAAGTTTACACTTGTGGGTTTCTGCAGCATTTGCTCATGCTAAAATTGTTAGTCTCGCTTTGGAATCTTTGACACCAGTTAGAGTCTTTTCTGTAGAGGTTGTCAAGGTGTTTCATGGTACCAGTTTCCTCAGGTTTTCCTATTAATGAATTAAATTCATCTGCAAATAGTTCTGCAGCTTCAGTAACAGCTGAAGCTTTTTCACCTGAAATTTTTAATTGCATTTTACCATGCTGATTTTTAAATTTGGTTAACCAACCTGTCGAATAAGTGCATTCATTTTTTAAGTTCATATCTTCATGAAAT